AAAATGGCTGTCCAATCTCTTTGTCAGGCCTGCAGTCATATTCCTCTTAGGATCTTTGGCCTGCCACACTCTCTCTCTTATTTTACTATGCTGTTTCATTAGTGGGGTAGTTGGGTGGGGGAATAGTGAGGCGCAGAATGTGTTGTTGTCAAAATAAAACATTCCTTTCTAGAAGCCCAAGGTCATCTTTTGTCTCTGCACCTGACCGGAAGTGGATGGGTGGAGATGCCAGCATGGCAGAGGAAGATTGGACCATGGGATGGACCTGGGGGGCGGTATGGGAGCAAGTTCATGAACTTTCAACTGGGTGAGAAACCCCGGAAGCTTTCAGATTCGGGTTTTCCACACATTGTACCAACGTGTCTCTCTTATTAAATTGGAACTTTGATGAAAGCTATGCCTTGGGCTCTGATTTAATTCTAGATGACATTTGGAACCCTGACACTGATATGTCTCCTTTGGCTAGACTGAGTTAAAAAAACTGGCATCTAAAGGAGAACAGAGGCATGGCCAAGACTTCTTTCAATTCAGGCTCGAGGCAAATAGGCTGAGTGTCAGGCCTGCAGTCGTATCCCTTCTGAGGAGAGGCCGCCTGTCAGGCCTTTAACTCGTGCATGGAGCACACATGCACCGGAGAAGGGAGCACTTTGCTCATCTGGGCCGCAACCTGGAATACGCATGTGCACTTTAATGGCACTGCCACACAGCTGATCGTCACGCCCCGGATGCCAGGTGCCACTTCGTGTACAGCGTGCCCTAGGTTCGCCATCCCAGAGCTAGATTAAGTGCCACAAACCTTCTTCTCTGGAAAAGGTGCTACCGTAATCCTTGGGGATCCATAGTAGAAAACGGTTTTTCCCGCTTCCCCAAAGTAAGAGGCGGATGGATGGCTGCGTGGGGGGGGGGGGGGGGGGGAAGGGAAGCTCAGGTTGGAGGGGAAAAATATTACCTTCTCTCGTTTCCGTGTCGTAAACGAGGACTTTCGTTCCTTCTAAAACGACGTACTTCCTATCCCAGCCTTGCTGGCCACGTTTATTATTTCTGAAAACAGAGACGGGACAAGGCGCGATTAGATGTTTTGCCAAGATTCTGGGGTCAAGCTGGAACGACGCTACGGGGGAAAAAACAACAACAGTCCTCCGCGGCTTCAGCCATGGCCTCCGAGAGCTGCTCTTCCGTCAGCAGCCTCCAAAGCTGGGCTGGCCTGTTCAGCGCAGAGACTCACGTTTATACCTGGGCACCTTCATCCATCCTTCCAGCCGTAAAGGGCCGCCAGGTTCTTTGAGCTGAAGGCCCGGGGAGTTCAATTTATCCCGGCAGAAGGCTTCCGAGAAGTGGGTGGCGTACTCAGCCGGCAATCCACAAGTGGCTGGCAAGCAGGCAGAACATTTGGGGTGGCACATCATTTGGCATTCTAATAATAATAACAACAACAACAATAGTAACAACAACAACAACAACAACAATAATAATAATAAGCAAGAAGCAATAAAAAATCACAAAGTACCGGGATTTGCAAATTGAAGTTGAGCAACTGTGGAAAAAGAAATCGTGTGTTGTCCCGATTGTAATTGGAGCTCTTGGAGCAATACCTAAAGGGCTACCTCGCTATTTGGAAATTTTAAATTTATCACCCTTGAACATTCTGATCCTACAAAAAACCACCCTACTTGGA